GTTACCACCATCATCATTTTGTGTGAAATTAAAGCATTATAAAATAATAATAAGAATAAAACTACTAATGAAGCCTTCTCTTTAAAATAAAAAACAAAGCTAAACAAAATAGACCAAATCCAACTGTTCCACCTAAAATATATTTTAGTTGAGAAAATTTTTGTTCTTCATTTTGAATTGTAGTGTTAAAAGAGCAAAATTCATTTTGAGTTGTATTGTTAAAAGAGTCAAATGATAGAAAAACATATTCTTTTTTGAAATCCATGGTTAATTTTGCAACAAAGGTTTTTAGAAATATTGTTCCAAGAAGGTTTACATCCATGAAGCGCAAGTTGATAGGTGGTAATTGTGCTACGATAGGAATGTTGTTTATATACACTCTATGAGCGGATGGATTGAGCATGGTTACTTTGAACGATTCATATACCTCCTTGCAAATGTAAGTCATTGGTGATCCCGTGTCAATAAAGAAGTGTACATTCTTAATATCTTGGTTGATTTGAACCGGCAAAGAGACGAAAATTCTGTAAAAAGGACCAAACATGATCTCATTTACATATTTCACCTCTGTATGAAGAGAATCTGATAGGTATTTGATATTTAGTCTTTCAGAAATTTCTTCATGGATTTCTTTAGAATGAACACCTGTTGATAGGAAGTCAAAGTTATCTATTGGATACAAAATAATATCGATTACATCATCATTTTTTTGACATGCTTTTATTCGAAAAAGTTTAAAGAAAGTTTATTTTATTAAATTGATTTCAAATCAAACGGCATGTGACCGAAGGCCACAAAAAATTTCGATTTGCTGGTATCACGTGCAGAAAGTTCTTCAGAATAAAAAATCCGAAGGCTAATAAAAGTAAGATAAATTTCTAGGAAGCATCCTATAAATATGTATAATTAATTTAGATGTACAAGAGCGAAAAATATATTACACTTGAATGTTCTTGTTCGATGTTACGATCTTCAATCTGCCGAAGTCCCAGTATGATTCTCATAAAAAGATTGTCATATATGTCATATAATAATTACTAACTTATCTTTGCTATATCATGCCCTCAACATAAGATTGCTAAACTGGAGCATAATGATAAAAATATTGCTACCGAAAATGATGAACTTAAATCTAGAGTTGCGAAATTAGAACAGCAACAATTACAAAACAATTCTTCTGATAATATCGATACTCCTGAACAGATAAACTTACAAAGTGATGAGTCAAAGACTCGTGGCTATGCCACTTATACTCCTGTGTCTGATGTATCTGATATTAGTTCAAATTCCGTTGATCTTAATGATACTCCAAATTCTGATGTATCTTTTGAAGATAAAAAATCAAATTTCTAGAACGAGTACATAAAGAACAAATTAGAAGTGATATTAAAGAAAGAGAACGGGAAAAAACTCTATTACGAAATAATGAAGCATCTACTTCTCAAGATCAATAACCGATACAAAAGAATTTTATACCAAAAATCAATCAGTGTTTCTTCCGAAAAATTCCATATAATCAGAAAGTAGAACAAGGTTTAATACGTGAGCTATTTGAACTTATTAGAAGCATTGATATCAAGACCTTACAAAATCCAAAGAAGATTCCATTAAATTCTATCTTCATTGAACAAATTTCGAATATTCCTGTTGATGTAGATCTTACTCCTGGCTCCGTAGCTCACCTAGCTTCTTTATTTGGTAAAGCTGAAAAACTGGACGAAAAGAAAATTTGTGATGGTATCATTATAGTGAAAAAAAAGTTTCAAATCTAAGTTCAGAAAATAATATTAGTGATCAAATGGCAAAAACACAAATCTATGATGAAATGATGAAATGATACCTGGAATCAAAAGAGAGTATTTGCGTGAGATGACACAAAAGGCTAAAATTATCAATACATTCTTCAAAGGTGTAGGAATAGATAAAGTTGAGTATGCCACATATAGTGTTGATGCTATTTCTAGTTTAACTAGTACACAAGTTCAAAATATAATAAAAGTTTATACTAATGAACTTGTCAAATCTCAAATTGATTATACTGATTTAGGAAAATTACCAGAAACTGAGATAGATGCATCGTCTTCAGATATAAAAGAAAGTTTACCGGAAACAGAAGTAAGTGGATTATCTGAAAAGGTTTCTGATGAAACAAATATAAACATACCACCTATAAACAAAGATACATCCAACGAATCCCGACTTCCGATTTCAATTTTACCAGATGATCCAGAAAAAAATGGAATCATGTTATTAAAATGGTATTGGACCGATTTCCTTGTCTATCATTAAAATATAATAATAAGTATGGTGATTATTTCGATTATTCAAAAACATGTCCAACATGTAATGAAAAGCATAAAGGAGATAATGTAGAAGATCAATGGATGATGATGATTATTGTGGCGAAAAAACTTATCGTCTCTATTGTTGTAAGAGAACTTTTAGTGGAATCCCACACTAAATATAAAAGCGTAAGAATAAAACATATTAATATGTAAATTGAGATCATTTAATCACTGCATATTAACTGGGGTACGGGGGACAACTCGACATTACACATATAGATTTGTCAATTTCAAAACTGTCACCCTATATGAAATTCATTTCTTTGTTAATGCAAATGTTCACTTTGATTTTGTTGCAGCATGCCCCAAATTAAAATTTCAGGCATGATTTTTATTTTTTTTTAGCCATTATTATAATAAAAATGTTAAGAGATATGAAACCTTGCACATATAATTTGGTGAACCTAAGCTACAAAATAGCAGTTTTTATTCAATTATTATTAAGTATGTTTTTGTGCAGTTACTTATACTGGTCATGATCATAAGCATTCCAAATTTTTTAAAATGTTCAAAGGTTTGTATTTATAATTATAATAAAGAAATGCATTCCACCACTAAACAATTTACTTTTAAATATGTGCTAGCTTTTTGCCCATATAGTGTATGTTGAGATATGCAATTTCTTGTGAATCCCTTTTTTTGAAACACTATTTTTATTTACATTGAAATTTTGCAAAGGTACAGTAGTATTAGTAAAATAATTATTTGTAAATTTTTGATTATTTATTTTTATCAATTACTTGGAAAACTTCTAATCCACCAAATCTACTACCATGTGTTATATTGATGTTATTATAAGTGTATGAATCACTATAAATACAATCAACATTAAATTGAATATCATGACCATCACCAAAAATAGGCAAACAAGAAAAATGACAATAAATTGCTTGTTGATGATAATCATGATAATAATCATTACTTCTAGTATAGCCAAGTTGTGCAGTATTAATATCATTTCTATCATTTATATTAAATATAAAACTTTCATTTGTTTTTTTATAACCATTTCCATTCCAATTGAGTGGATTATAACCACCAATTATTTGATCTGAATTTTGAATTTTACCAATTACAAGAGTTTTGTTGATATTATCACATTTTTGATGAAATACTGTATTATTTAAACCATCTCTACCACTGTGATATAAAAGTTTAAATTCATATTTAACTTCTTTGTATGAATTATATGGTGAACGTTTTCTATCTATCCAACTTGCAAAAAGCAAAATAAGCTTTTCATCAATTATTGTTGATTTTCTTGATGGTAATACGTTTAATGCTTGTTGTCTATCAGGAACTAAATAATATTGTAATATGTCCTTCCAGAAAAACTTAGTAAAAAGTTTCTGATAGGGCACAATTTTATTAAAAAATTTCTCATTAGAAATATCCTGAAATCTTATTAGAGAAATAAGATCCTTTGTTGTGTTGCCCATATCAACAAAGTTTTGTGGTGACCAACTTTTAGGATCATTATTATTGATTTCTGGATGTCTTGATAATCCCCATTTAAGAACATTTTCCCAAATAATTATCTCATCAACAGAAAAATCATCCCTTTTAAGAATTTCCAATAGAATTGATTTTTCCAATGACTCAAATTCACTTGACTGAAATAATTTTTCACTGTAATCACAAAATTTTTTTAAGTAAATCTTTTTCAATTCCTTAAATTTTTTGTTAGAATAAATCAATTGCAGAATTCCAACTGGATTTTCTTTTATAAAATCTTCATGGTTTTTAACAAAATAATTCATTATGTATTCATAAAGTGATTCAAGACCAAGTTCATCAGCTGCAATTAATATTTCAAGTACATCAACTCCAGTAAAATTGTCTAACTCAATCTTACATGTATACAAAAATCTTTTAAAAATAAATAACTGTTAATAAACAATATAAAAAATAATAAATAATACAATAATAGTTTAGTTTAAACTTACTTGAGAATATGTTTGAAAAGTTGTTCATTAATATTTGCTTTTTTAACAATATAATAACCATTTTCTTTTGTTGCATTACTTAGTGCAGTACTAAAAAATGGACAATGAGCACATATGATGGAGGCATGTGCATGAAATTCTTCTATATTTGGTTCTACACCTACACATATTTTTACATCATAAAAATCCTCTGTATTTAATAATCTTTCATTTTCATTAAAATATTTTTCTAAAGTTGTAGAGTCCATTTTTTGGAAATGATTGAAAATGTTAACACAGTCAAAAATATTATTATATGAAATGGGATATTAATATGCGGCGGATTGGTCACCTAATTCGGACATTTTCCGAAAGGCAAATCCTTTATCCATGGAATAACAATGAATAAAAGCTTCCGCTTTTCGGGTGTATGGCATGGATATCTCTGATGTTGATCTCTGGGATTTTGTCCTGATAACTCACTCTATGATCGATAAACTCATGGGTAGGATAATTATAATATATCCTCTACAGGCAAAACCTTTGTCCACGATGACAAACGGATAAAGATTTTGCCTGTCTGTCGGAAAATGTCCGATTACCTGAGATTGGTTTAGAAAAAAATCAAGGTTATGGGATAGTTTTTATTTATTTAATGAAGCAAATGATGATAAGTAGTAAAGCTCTAAATAAGCCGACTTGAAATAAATTTTTTTATTTCATTTTTTTTTTTAACATATCAGATATTGTATAATTTATTTTTTTTTACAAAATAACAAAGTAGATATACTAATGTAATTTAATTTTTTATCTTGTGGCATAGATCCGTCAGAAGCAACACCTTTGCCGTGAAATAAACTACATAATATAATAATAAAATGATATTATTATGAGAAATTTTTTTTTATTTTAGATTTCGTGACCACAATATTTACCTTTTGTTAATTGTAATTAAATTCATTACTTTAATAAAATAAACCAGCTAAATTAATTAAATGATAAAAAAATTAACATTCATCTTTACGTCTGGAATTTTAGTGCAGAATTCAGTGGCATGCACTTAGTTGAGATGCATTACTTAGAATGACATACATTTTCTCAAAACAAAAAACAAAAAATACAATGCTTGTAGCAGGATAAAAGAAAGAAGGCGATAGTATGAGTAGTAATAATACAGTATCACTTGAGAAGTTTTTTCATCAACTGGGATTTATTTACATAGAAAAAGAAATGGACTTAGTAAAAATAATAAAAGCAACCGATTTTTAGTGAATTTATAAAAGTTATGTTATTTGTCTAGTAGCCGGCCAAGGTTTTTCTACCGGCCGATATCACTATAAAATTTGTTAAGGCGCAATTAGTAATGAATTTTAGATCCACTCTGTTGAAATAATTAAAGCTCCGAAAGAGCCGTGTGTACCAAATGTACAATTTTTTATTTTTTACTATAATCAACAATAATAAAAAATTGTTACTTATCAAATTCAAGTCATCGAGCTTGAAAGCTCAAAGCTAGCTAGGCTCATTTGGAACTTTAGTTGAGTTAGAAGGTACCGATAATCAAATATTGGTAAATGTAATTGTCAAAGAACCTGTTTCATCCAAAAAATTATCATTTGATATTTATGTAAGATAAAATTGTTTTATTTCAATAGGTGATTTGGACACCTATTTGTAACTACTTTTTGTTCCATCATCATTACAATATATACAGGTGGAATCAGGATATCTTTATTCAAATGTGCCTAAACAATGTCGGGAGGTCTTTCAGCACTGTTAGAATTTGACAAATAAAGACTTCGATAATCAAAATTGCTTGGCATAATTTAAAATTTAAAAGCAATATATTTTCTTTTAATTTTCGAATTCAATTTCGATTTTCGATTGAAGCTTATGTATGACAAACATCCAATTACCTTTTAAAAGGCTCTTTCTTTACCCATAAAAAAAAACATGTAAACTTCATATATATTTGTATTAGTATTAGTAATAAGCAGGATTTCTAGAGAATTTACTTGAAAAGAAAAATATCACAACTTTCCTAACCCTCATTTTAAAATTTTTTGCTTTACCCATGACATAAAAATTGTTTTGCCTGGTTTTGGATATATGACTTAAAAAACTTCTTGCTATACCCAAATAGTCATTAAAATTTTTTTTCATATAACCTCAGCAAAAATCCCGGCTGGATCCCCCTTTTTTTTTTAATGACTAAATCAGAAAATTTGATTATTATTATGATGATCATTGTTTTTTTTTTTTAAAAAAAAAAAAATGGATTTGACAATATTTGGAAAATATTTTAATGAAAATGAAAGATTATTAAATACAGAGGATTTTTATGATGTAAAAATATATGTAGGTGTAGAACCAAACATCAAAGAATTCCATGGACATTCATCCATCATATGTGCTCATTGTCCATTTTTTAACACTGCATTAAGTAATATAAAAAAGAAAAAAGGTTATTATATTGTTAAAAAAGCAAATATTAATGAGAAATTTTTCAAACATATTCTCAAGTAGGTTTTAAACTAAACTATTATTGTATTATTTATTTCTTTTTATTGTTGAATAACATTGTTTATTAACAATTATTTATTTTAAAAAGATTTTTGTATACATGTAAAATTGAATTAGACAATTTTACTGGAGTTGATATATTAGAAATATTGGCTGCGGTTGATGAACTTGGACTTGAATCACTTTATGAATATACAATGAATTATTTTATTAAGAAACATGAAGATTATATAAAAGAAAATCCAGTTAAAATTCTACAATTGATTTATTCTAATGAAAAATTTAAGGAATTGAAAAAGAATTATTTAAAAAAAATTTGCGATTATAGTGAAAAATTATTTCAGTCAAATGAATTTGAATTATTGGAAAAACCAATTTTATTGGAAATTCTCAAAAGAGATGATTTTTCTGTTAACGAGATAGTTATTTGGGAAAATGTTCTTAAATGGGGATTATCAAGACACCCAGAAATCAATAACAATGATCTTAAAAATTG